GCGAGTTCTTTGCTGATTCGGCAGTCTTTTCGGGAGAGGGGGTCTGAGGTCTTACTGGTTCAACAGCAGCTAGCGGAGGAATGGACGATTGTTCAGTCGGTAGTGTAGATATTTTCTCACTTGTTTCTACCAATGTCTCCTGTTGGGGTAGGTTGGGCGGCGATGATGGTGGCAAAGATGAATTCGGGCGATCCGGTTGCGCTTCGACGGTTGCGGGTGGAGGTGAAGAGCGTCGAGTAAGGCGACCTGACCTTCGAGGTTCAGGTTCGCTTATATTGGCCCCTTCCTTTGGTAAAGAAACAGGTTTTACAGGAGACTTCTCTGAAGAGAGTGGTTTTTCCAAAGCAATTATGCCTGGTGAAGCGACCTTTATGGTATGTCCCGGTGACTCTGGCTTTGGTGGTTCTAAATCATTATCCTCCGGCTTCTCCGGCTCTACCTCCACCACCCCCTCCTCGGGCCCTTCATCCTCCTGCTCCTGCTCTTCGCGCTCCTGTTCCCTCTCATCCGGCTCCTCGGGGGCAATGTGGTAGTTTGAACTTCGATCCCCTGTTCGGCTATCAATGGCAGGCTCCGAGACAAATGAATTATACTCTGATACCAATCCAGTTTGTTGTGGCTGTGATTGAAAGTCGCTCCATACACCGCTGTCAGTGAGACTTGGCTGACTTTCTGGCTGTTTCAGGCCAAAAGAGTTATCCTTGATAGGGTTTGTGGGCTTCTTCACTTTGGTATCCTGTAATACTCGTAATGGCCGAGAAGGCGATTTTGATGAGCCACGAGCTGGCGAAGTCTGTCTCTTACCTGGTAGTGGAGCAACTGTGTAGAATGGATTGTCGCTTGGGTTCTCATTGGCCGGCTGCTGGAAGTCCGAAATGTTAGTAAGAGGCTGCAGCTCACAGAAATCAACCACCAGTAGCAGGGGGGGGTTAGAAATCTCAAATACAGACCTCACGTCCTGGCGCCGCTGGACGCACTTGCTTCCGCCCGGTCCTAGGAGTTTTCTGACCACGTAGTTTTCCTGGTGTCTTTAGAAGCTCGGCCACATCGCTAAGCACAAGAAACGGCATTAGCGATCAATGTTTTGCCTATTGAGAGACAAAGGAAGTTTTATGTCAGCATACAGGTTATTTCTCTCAAAAATCTCGGCCATATGTTCATTCAACCACTCAAGATCATTTCGAGCTGCAAACGCGAAATCCTCCATATCCTGATCCCCAAGCTGCTGAACAGTAGATCGCTCATTTGCGATCCAGCTAACTGATCCAACGGAAGGCTTTGCTGTCGAAGGACCTGCCATGTTGCCGACAATGTCGAAGACTACCGCTCGGTTGATACAAAAAAAAAACGGAAGCTAAAATGCTTCGATTGCTCCCCTCCGGTAATTCACTCCACGATGGTAGGAAATTTGTTGGGGAGAGTTGAGTTTTCGGCGTGGGGAAATTGGGTATTGGGTGGCGCCGTGATCGTTAATGTCTTGAGGAGCGGTGACTGTTCGTCGGTGTTGTCAATGGGGTGGGGGGAGGAAGGGATGGTAAAGTGATTGTTTTGTTGTGTCCGAAAACACGCTAGCAAGCCACTTCTCGCGTCTTGGCTCTCGCGTCTAGTCTTAAACAAAGCTGCCAACTGCTGCCAGCTACTGCCACATGGTATTTACATATACCCACCCTCCCACCAGATATCTCTTTGTGCCTGCTACATGATATATCCGACAAATGATTTTCTCTTGCGCAATTGGCTAAATTACTAACTAACCCCAGCATGTGTGGCCTCGCACACGCCTGAGACTTGATAAAGTACCTACGCGTAGAGGTGTTCTTGATGGTAGACTTTTGGCGCCCTGTCGTTGCCATGGAGATCAGGGTCCTCATTTCCAGCTATGTTCAAATAAAGTAACTATAAGCATATACATGTAATAATAACGCACATATATCTAACCCTTTGATTTAGAGTCTACCTAAAGTTCCAAACTTTTGAACGCCATATGAACCGAAATTACTTGCTTAGAAGAAACATTTTACCTCATGTACCATAGCTGCTGGTCCTTTTTTTCATCAGTCTTCCATGAGATATCAACTTCAACCTCCCTAGAGTTTTTGTTGCTCTTCCTGTAAGTAATTTCCCCTTCGATATTCTCACCAGATTTCAACATTCCGCTTTTGTTCTCTACTAACAAAACCCCCTGTCTCCAGTGCGTAGGGGTCTTGAAGGGTCCAGTAGTGAATGCAACACCCTTATCCTTGCTCGCCTTCCACGTCTCTGCTCTTGCATTCTCGGGAATATACTCTCCGCGCGAGGTAGTGAAGAAGGTGTCGAAGTAGATGACGAACGCATCCAAGCTCTCGATATTATCCTTCACACTCAGAGAAAATTTGCTTGTAAATGATAGCTCGGAAGTCTTGATGGTGTGAAGAGGGAGGTTGTAGAACACAACTGGCTCAGATGCTAGAGATTTGGATTCGAGCACGTGAACGATAACGTCCTCGCGGATTTTCTCCTTCATAGCTGACATGGAGAAGCCGTAAACGTGGTTCCAGAAGTTGACGTTCTCGTTGATGTACTCCGAGTCGTGCATTGCCGCGATTAAAAGCTTGCACTCGGAGGGGACCATAAGACCATCTGGAGCAAGATATTTATCACGGGCGTAGAGGACTGAATCCAACATAGCTTCGTATAGAAGAAGATATCCCTATGGGCTCGAATCAGCACATGGATGTTTCCCGGAAATAATATCATTACCATCCACTCAGAGACAATGATGTCCACTTGTTTTACTGGCAAGACAACTTCTTCAATCTTTCCATGCAGACAGGTGATGATTCCATCAAGGCTGTTCTCAAAGACATTCTCCCTCGCTTTGTCAATAATTGCTGAGTTGTCCACAGCAATGACCTTCTTCGCACCAGCTTTGGCGCAAAACATGGAAAGCACGCCGGTACCGCACCCGACATCAAGCACAACCTATTCGTAATCAACAATAATTCAACGACTCTTACTAAACAAATCTTACCTTATCCTTGAACAGATGCTTGTTCTCATAAATGAAATCTCTGTATGCGTCTGTCCTGACGGTATCCTTCAACATGGTTTCATGGATGTCATTACCCGCATATGAGTGGAAATAATGACTGTCGTCATCCCGCTTTACTTCGTCCTTATCCGGCTCGGCAAGTTGTGCCTCGAAACTCTTGTTTACGGCATTCTTGTATTCCAAAAATTGCTGCGAGAGACTTGCTAATCGAAGTTCTAGTTCCTTGACCTTATCTGCATCAGTAGTTGCGCTTTTTTCTTCTGTGCCCAAGTCCAACTCCGGGTCGTCTAGGCTGAATAGGAGAGTATCGTCTTCCAACACTGGCTGAAGGAATTTATCATCATCCAGGAATGCCTTGGAAGTGAAATCGGGGATGCGCGAGGCCTTAGTCTCGCTTCTGATGTAATTGACTAGTTTGATTGTTCCGTAAAAGTCCAACCCTGATCCAACACAGCTAAATCAGTAATTGGTATCTCCCAAGTGTAATAAGATCAGCCATACCAAGTTCTCCCTTTGTCTTCACAAAATCAAAGCCATGTGACTCCCCGCAGTGTTCAAACAATTTATTAGGTGCCGGGAATGTGTTTGGGCAAAACAAGCAAACGACAGGAGATTCCTCCTCGTTGTCAGGCTCTGCGTCTTCCCATCCCTCCTCATTTTCGGACTCAACGTCCTCTGGGATTGGATTGTTAATTGTCTTTTCGGACGCCATTTTGAAAAAAAAGTGTCAAATAGGATTGGCCGGGCGTAACCAAAGATATTTTTTTATGCGGGGTACCGGGCAACTGCTAGTGACGCAGGAGAAGGCCGGGTAAGGTGCCTTTGTATAAGCGAGTGATGACATATGAATTCACCTCAACGGCCCACTCAAATTGGCTCTGACAGCTCTTGGATTGGACTCCTTTACCAATCGACATCATTCTCTGGGGCTTTAGTTACTACACTTAGAAATGCCCTGTGTAGTTGATCTCCAGTAAGTAGAGCACCTATGCAGACGTACTGTACCAGTAGTTCACTAAAACCTTACAGAGCACCTTGCAGAACCATATCAGCCGAATTCAATTGGAATAGATACACATCAGAGCCTCTCCCCGCATCCTGAGCCTAGGATTACCGTCCAACCCTCAGTAAACTTCAGCGCACTGACTGAGTGAGGAACGGTGTGTGTCTCCCCAAGAAGTTGCAAACATCTACCGATAGCCCTGAACCCTGAATTTCCCCATACCTTTTTTGACACAAACCCCGAGATGCACAAACACAAGCAATACCTACCATGCTGACTCAACAGTGACTAAGCGCATAGGGTGCTTCAACCTCAGGACATTGAAATTATTGAGCCACAGAGGCTTATGTACTCGAATATCATTGATAGTTCAGTTCATGCCTGTACGCCGGTACAAATAAGTGGGAATCATCACACCGCCACATCTATAGCTAGTTGACTCAAAGGCAGCACTAAATACTTGGACGGTCAATAATCAACAGGGCCAAACTTCTGTTTGGGTACAAGATACCCGTATGTAACGAGGCTGAGACATTTCGATAACGGAACAGCGAACATCCATACTGGATACCGCATCATTGTCTTATATATTGATTGGAGGCGGCACGATTTTCCACAGTACCGTATGAGTGGCCTCGTGCGGCCCAGTGTGCACGCAAAGCCCGGGAGCGAGGAACACATTGTGGAGAATGCAAAGTACATGGAGTGCCTACAAATCCAAAGACACGGCTCGTCTAAATGTCACCCGGAGGTGGCTTCACAGGCTCACATACCATTTGCTGGTTTCGCCCGAGTCAGTGCGTCAGCAGATGTCTCAGGGGGAAAAGTACGACTACATAATACACTTGGTATCACGAAAGTTCTAGATTTGATATCTATCCCTTATTTATATAAAGTGCAACTCCTCACCCACCCAAAGGACCCTCTACTACTACTGTTACGACTGTGCAGCATCCCACCCCTGAAATGTCTACTAGATCAAGAGCGCCCGCCGAATCACTTCACGAACAATACAGCTTTCCGAACCTCACCGGCATCGGCCGAGGGTTTGAAGAAGCAATTGAACACATCAATAACGAGAGCCATCAAAATTTGCAAGCGGATGCTCGCTCATGGCTTATCGCAACCGCCCACCAGATTATGAAAGAACTCAAGTACGAACTCCGAAAGCTTCAGATCAATCGAGACACACCGTCACTACTCCCGAGATACGCCTATGATCCCACTGCATCATTACTCCTATCTAGCGATGACGTCCCACCGCCATTGTACGCATTCAGCGGGCAGTTTATCGATTATATAACCCAGCTGCTCATGGCATGCGGTTTTCACGCGAAAATATACTTGGTTGATCCTGCATCACTTGGGACCTGGGCGATCTCGAGTCCGGCGTACATTAGAATCGAAATTACTTTCCCTCATGTGTACAACAGAAGTGAAGCTGGTGATGGAAGAATCGTGGCATTTGATGTTGACGAGAATTTCAACCGGGATTTCTTTGGAAGTATGAGTACTTTGAGCACTTAAAGACTGGGATTAGAGATGGGTTTTTTGTCCTCCGTTAACTATTATTAATATTAATTATTTATAATTTGTACTACATTTCATTTAGAATTCCGAGTGCCGATCCTGTATAGTAGTAACGGGGTGTTTGTATTCCGTGGTTGAGATCATTGTACCTACACCGCAAAGGTACGTTGCTATGCGCGTCGGATGGCACGTGATGTTCAGGATGCTTCGCGAGGCTGCCATCCTTGACCATACATAGCCTGGCTGGCTGCCTTGCAGCATCAGCGACAACCTGGCATGGGCTGTCCACGCGTGTGCGAGAAAGCTGCAGCATATCGCCAGCAACACCAAGTGAGCAAGAGGATAGGAAAAGAGATAAAAGCGGGGAACAATAATAATTGCAAGGCGGCGGAAAGCCGGAGAGTGACCGAATGAAGAAATGATGGTCGTAGCATGTGCTGTTTTGTGGGTGAATTGTCAGGTTGAAAAGGCAGGGTGGTCTAGAGACGTCAATCAAACAGAAGATGCTCGGGAAACAAAACCTCAGCAAAGGAAACCCTGAGAGAGAGAGGTTTCTCTGGTACATTCCTGTAGTTACCCGGCACCTTCTCCACCCCCCGAGACACCGGATCCTAGACCCAGTTTCCCCAAGATGAGAAATCCTTCCTGAAAAATTATTTCAAAGAAGCCTTCCCATCCAAATTCTATATTATCCCTTTCTCCTTACATTCGTCCGTCTTTTCTGCTGTAACCTCACACCACCTTACGTATAAAAGCTCTTGCGCCGCGATCGCATTCCCCCTTCACCTACGACAGACTTTCATTTCCATCCCTTCCCTCACTTTCCTCTACTGGTCTCGCGAGACAGCTTTAGGGGGACTGTTTTGGCCAAGCTTAGCTTCCTTTACAGTAATTAACCATGGAAACAAACGGTGTGTCCGCAGGGAAACGGAAGCACGGTGGATCGCCAGCCCCAGATCGCCCAACAAAGCATCTCCGAGAGGAGTCTTTCGAGATCGATGAGGACGAGATGATGCCGGGGGAGGATGGTAGTTTCATTGTTGAAGCCAGCAGGATGCTACCCCCAACCGCTGCGACGCATGATTCAGCGGAATGGCAGAGGACCATCGAGAGTGTAGTTCGCAACGTCGTGTCGATTCGGTTCTGCCAGACATGCTCCTTCGACACCGACTCTGCTATCACAAGCGAAGCTACGGGATTTGTTGTGGATGCTGAAAAGGGTTACATCTTGACAAACCGACACGTTGTTTGTTCGGGTCCATTTTCGGGATACTGCGTTTTTGACAACCATGAAGAGGCAAGCTGCGCAAATCCCCACAATTCATAGCTGCGCCATTTTTTTCTAATAGACCAGTGGAGGGGGTGTAGTGCGACGTCTTTCCAGTGTATCGCGACCCTATCCATGACTTTGGTATTTTGCGGTTCGACCCGAAGGCGATCAAGTACATGCCTGTTGCCGCCCTAGAACTGAGGCCAGATCTTGCGCGTAAGACGAATAGAGAGAAGACTTTCATGGGAATAACCACGCTAATATTTCAACAGATGTTGGCGCGGAAATCAGAGTTGTCGGTAACGATGCTGGAGAGAAACTCAGTATTTTATCAGGTGTCATTAGTAGAGTAGACAGAAATGCGCCAGATTACGGGGATGGATACAACGACTTCAGTGAGTAAATCCGTATGGCTACTGTAGCTATGTCTAATATCTCGACTAGACACAAACTACATTCAAGCAGCAGCTTCTGCTAGCGGGGGAAGTTCTGGCAGTCCCGTGGTCAATGTGGATGGTTATGCTGTTGCCCTACAGGCTGGAGGTAGCACTGAAGCTGCAACCGATTATTTCCTGCCCCTTGACAGGCCTTTACGAGCGCTCAGGTGCATTCAAACGGGCCAGCCAGTCACCCGTGGAACCATTCAAACACAGTGGTTATTGAAACCTTTCGATGAATGTCGGAGAGTAGGGCTTACAGCAGAGTGGGAGGCTGCTGTGAGAAAAGGATTTCCAAAGGAGATCGGCATGTTAGTCGCTGAAATTGTTCTCCCAGAGGGTCCTGCTCATAATCATATCGAAGTAATTAAAATCCAATTGAAACATCGCGGACCAGTATTTCTCGTTGAAACAAAAATTTCTGACGTATACCGATATATATAGGAAGGTGATATCTTGATCAAGCTTAATGGAGAGTTGATCACCAAGTTTGTCCAGTTGGACAATATTTTGGATAGCTCTGTGGGCCAGAAGGTCAAGTTATTGGTCCAGCGCGGAGGGCAAGATATGGAAGTCGAAATTGAGGTTGGCAACTTGCATGACATTACACCGGATCGGTTTGTGACTGTTTGTGGAGCTGCCTTCCACGACCTTTCATATCAATTGGCCAGGTTATATGCGATTGCCGTAAAGGGGGTGTATGTATGCGAACCAGCTGGCTCGTTCAGGTTCGATGGAATGGACAAAGGATGGATCATTGAGTCAGTAGGCAACAAGAAATGTTACAACCTTAATGCGTTCATCGATATAATGAAGAGTATACCAGGTATGTTTCCCCCCGGACCCCATAGTCGGAATACTGACGCTAAAATCGCCTAGATCGTGCCCGAGTGGTGGTTACTTATCGCCATCTCCGTGATTTGCACACTATGCATACTTCCATATTGTACATTGACCGACACTGGAGTACGAAAATGAGAATGGCGATCCGAAATGGTAAGTATTTGTTAATCGAATGGTTTTGCAATCGCTAATTCTTGTACCATATAGACTCTACGGGACTGTGGGATTTCTCAGACATCGGAGATCCTCTACCCCCAGTGGACCTTGTGCCTCGATCAGCCCAGTTTATCCGATTAGATAATGTGAGCTATTCAGCAGCAACTGATTTGATTCGCAGTTTTGTGCGGATATCATGCACAATGCCCATTAAGCTCGACGGGTTTCCGAGAGCTAGAAAAACTGGATTTGGTTTGGTTGTCGATGCTGGTCTAGGGCTCGTTGTAGTTTCCAGGGCAGTCGTGCCCTACGATTTGTGTGATATTTCAATCACTGTTGCCGAATCCATCATTGTGCCTGGCAAAGTTCTGTTTATGCATCCACTGCAAAACTATGCTGTGGTGCAATACGATCCGAAGCTTGTTGATGCACCTGTGCAATCCGCAAAGCTAAGTACTGAGCACGTCAAACAAGGTTCCCCCACAATCTTCTTGGGTTTTAATCAGAACCTGAGAGTTGTGGTTGCCAAGACTTCGGTCACGGACATCACCACCGTCGCTGTTCCCGCCAACTCGTCTGCACCCCGATACCGCGCTATCAATGTCGATGCTATCACGGTAGATACCTCCCTGAGTGGTCAGTGTGGTAGTGGTGTACTTGCAGACGAGGACGGTACCGTCCAGGCCTTATGGCTTACCTACCTCGGTGAGCGGACCCATAGTAACAAAGACGTTGAGTACCACCTTGGATTAGCCACCCCATCATTACTACCTGTCATTCGTCAGCTCCAGGCTGGTGTAATTCCAAAGCTGCGGATGTTGAATGTTGAGCTCCATCTCGTACAAATGAGTCAAGTTCGGATCATGGGTGTGAGCGACGAATGGATTCGCAAAGTCGAAGAGGACAACCCAGAGCGCCATCAGCTCTTTATGGTCCGCAAAGTTGAGTGCGGGTACTCACAGACCCTTGAAGAAGGTGACGTGATCCTGACCATCAACGGGAAGGTTATGACAAGGATCACAGAACTGGATGTCATGTACGACCACGACTTTTTGGACATGGTGGTGGTCCGGAATTGCGAAGAAATGACCTTGAAAGTTCCCACTGTGCCTACTGAGGACTTGGAGACAGACCGTGCTGTAATTTTCTGTGGTGCTGTATTGCACCGACCGCATCATGCAGTTAGGCAGCAGATTAGCACGTTGCATTCAGAGATCTACGTTTCCGCGCGCACAAGAGGAAGCCCGGCATATCAATACCAGCTAGTACCAACCAACTTCATTGTTGCGGTGAATGGAGTTAAGACGCAAGATTTGACAGCGTTTTTGGCGGAGGTCTCAAAGATCCCCGATAACACCTATTTCAGATTAAGAGTGATCACTTTTGACAACATCCCGTTCGTCATCACAATCAAGAAGAATGAACACTATGTAAGCATCAATCCCCAAATCTGAAAGAAGCCGTTGCTGATTCTGTTCAAAAGTTTCCAACGATGGAGTTCATCAAGGATCCCGCTGAGCCCTGCGGCTGGCGGAGACAAACTTACGAGGGGACCTCAGCACACGCAGGTACGCAGCTAATCCCTAGCACAGCCTTCTCCACCAAGCAGATACTCGGGCTCTAATAGAATCCGATGTGATGTTTTAGGTCTCACATCAAGTATCCTCGCCGAGAGTATGCCAAACGATCCTTATGAGAACGATGACGGTGACTGTGAAGCTGACGATGGCGGCATATAGACATGGAAGAAGTTGGTGGTTGCGAGTAAATAACTCGGCGGCGGCTAGAATATACGATTCTTCAACAGCTTGCTCGGTTCTTTAACTTTGTTTTCAGCTATGATTGTGAAATTAATTGTACAATTCTTTTGTTGTTTAGGTGAAATGGCGGTACAATAGAAGGGGTTTCTTTTTGTGCTATTTTTGTGCGAGAGAGTGTGTGTTAAGAGGGAGGATGTAGGAGGGAGGAGGTTTCTCTTTTGCTAGGATTTCTTCCTATTCGGTTTGGCGATACGAACTGTAGTACATGTAATAAGCAATACTGTGCCCAGGTGGCTACCATGACCTTTCTCCTCAACCGTAATCAAATGCCAAGCCCAAATAGAGAAACGGCCGGAGGGGGCCTGTAAGTACAGTGCTCTTCTTGCGGCCGACTATTTGTATCGCCCCTTATCAGGGACCTCCGGAAGCCCAGGGAATAGTGTCTTCCATTTACCTCACCCCTCCCTCTTAGCAGTCTGCGGATGGCCCAGTCCGTTTTGGAGAGCCTTGGAGGGATAGTACAATGAGAAG